CAACCAAGCAGACGCCGAATCATGCAAAGTTGACCACGACAAAAAACNGGAGTTGGTGGTCGTTGACCGACTCACACGGTAGGCTCGTCGGACTCCACCACCCAGACAACTCATCCACCTGACGTTCTTCCGCTCGGTCAGTGGAAGTGCACTAAGTTTCAACTTCGTGACGTTTTCCGAATGAAATATATATCAAGTCATTGTTGGGTGAAAAACTAACACACGTGAACCGTACAGCGGTCGCCGCACCTTGCTTGTAGCCTTTACCCTTCTCGGAGCACTACCCTTCTCGGAGCACGTTTGTAGATCGGGAGATCCACTGTTCGTGGCATTTCCACCATCGGTGGTTGCAAGGCATGCTTACCGTTATTAACGGTCGCAGTAGCTTCATCGAAGTCACTTGGGAATCCCTTACTGACTCCCGCAAAATGATCCGAAAATCATCCAGAATCTCCGGTCCCTTCTCCCTCTCAGAGAGCGAAGGCACGCGCCATTGGCGCGCGGTCGCAACACACTGTTGCGCGGTCGCAACACATTGTTGCGTGGTCGTCAGGCTTCACCCTCACCTTGACTACAGTTTTTCACCGCGAAAAAAACACAGGGTACGAGACAAAACGTTTCGAATGGACCAGGCCAGTCTGTTGTGTCGTACTGGTCCGCTGCTGACGTGGTGCTGCCTGCGTCGTATGAAGAGTCCTCGGTGTTGATTGATTCTGGCAACTTGCGTTGCTACCGTTACCGACTCCCTCTGTATTTGACAAAAAGCTTCGGCGGGCGAGACGTAACAACTGAAAGCCGCCCTCGCCCACTGACATACCAACACGCCCCCTCGACTTCTCAGTTGAAGGGTTGTATCATTCCTAAGAACTCATCCCAGTTGGCTTCTGTCTTCATGCCAACGTCGGTCGTCTCCCGCCTGTTCTCGGCCTGCCCCTCCAGCTCGCGCTGCCCTGAGACGTACTCTTGGGTTGCCCACCATCTCCCGCCTGTTCGCGGCCTGCTCCTCCAGCTCGCGCTGCCCTGAGACGTACTCTTGGGTTGCCCACGTGCTCAGCTTGAACCTCCTCACTTGTCTTTGTAAGCCGTGACCGTCCGCCCCGGCACGTCGCATCTTTCTACGTGATCCAGGCTTACTGTGTCCATCGCGCCCGGATTCTCCAGACTCCCCTTTCGGCACGTTGTGTGTCAGCCGAGCTCTCGTTCGAGTCCGGGCACATATCAGGTGCCCACTGGTGCCATAGTGAAAGTTCAGTACCACTTTCGCTCTCAGTCGCTCCGGGACGTACACCTTGCCAGTCATGGCCTGCCGCCACCACTTGCCATCCTTCTTCATTCCAGGCACTCCTTGCGGCTCCAGCTGCCGGTGCTCTCTCATAAAGTCCTCTTCCGACACCTGGTGTCTCCCCAGCAGTTGGCCCGCGTGGCCTATCACTCTACCGCTCAATGCCATTGCCTCGATCTCTGCGCCGCACTCTTCATCTTCCGCTGCGTACAGCGACAACCAGTCCGCCATGTTATTCTTCTCCCGACAGGAACTCTAAGGTGAAGTTGAGCCTGCTGAGCGCCAGCGCCCAGCGGAACACCTTCCCTTTGTCTACTCCCACAAGGTAGAGTAGGTCGGCGTGATCTGCGCGTACGGTGCAGTGATGGAGCGCTACGTAGTCGCACCACTTCTCTACAGCCCACTTGACGGCGAAGAGCTCTCTCTCTCTCGTATCCCACTTTCTCTCCGCGTCGGTGAACTTCTTAGACGCGAACTCTAACGGGACCTCTCTACCCTCTTGCATCTGCTTCAACACCGCGCCAATGCCAACCTCCGAGGCATCTGTTTCGATGATGAGCGGCGCTCCTGGAACTGTGCTTCAGCTTCACGAACGCCTCTCCTCGAGCATCCGCCAGACGAACAACCTGCCCTTCTTGAGCAACTCGAACAGTGGGGCAGAGTACTCGGCGAATCGCGCGATGAAGGGTCGTAGATACCCAACGGCTCCTAGGAAGCTCTGCAGTTCCTTCCTTGAGGCGGGGCGGGGGCATTGAGAACGTCGCCTATCTTCCTCTCCT